TTCGGTTATCCGACTTTTCAATTATCTGACCAACCCCAGTTCCCAACTGAGTCGGATAATCGATGCTCTACTGTACTTAATACAATCTTTGTGTTTTATAGAAGTCCAAATAAAGTTATTATTGAAAAAAAATTGAGTCTAAAATTTCATAATCAATTTCAAAGAAGGCAGTTTATTCTAAACATATTCCAGTTCTAAAATTTGCACAGTAAGTTTATACAGGTATCCCTTGCTTAATACAAGATTCTATTAACGTACAAAATTAACTGCAGCAATCCCTTTATATATGTGGCACAAGTTTTAATACCTGCAGTTTTACCAGCTGTCTTTACTTACATAGATCATGTATTTTGATTAACATGCTTTTGATATACATGGTAGAGTCAAGGGTCAAGGGATTAATTACCCATGTCAATCAAGGGCTACCTGTATTTAAATATATAAGCATTACTTTTTTTAATAAAAATTTATTAATTATTAACTATAATAAATATTATCTAAACAAATTCTGATTACAATCAGTTCAGAGATACTATCTTGAAAAGAAAAAAAAAAGTAAAAGATAACATTATTAGTTTATTCAAGTCCTCTCTTCACGTTTCACTTTCATAATACAGATATCCCCAACTTAACTAATACATAAACTAGGTCTTATCCAAAAACTTTTCTAAAAAAAAAATATATAATATATAATTTACTATACCATTATGTATAATAAACTAATAATTTTATTTTATTTTTATAATATATTCAATTTTTCTTATAATTTTCTATTTTGCTTCATATAAAAGTAATGTAACTAATAACAATTTTAAATACATTACAAAGAAACAAATTCCAACTTTAAAAATCAACTTACAGATTTAAAAATTAGAAGTTACATGAATCAAGGAGATCCTGTAAATCTAAGATATTTTAACTTTAGTTAAACATTGATATCTAATTTATAAGGTCAATTATCATTTTTATTGTTAAACTCATTCTTATAACTAAAACTATTTAACTACATTTAAATTTAACATTTAATTACAAGTATTTAATAATTTAAACATATCATAAAAATTCAAATGAAATACAATACAGTGCATATCAAAAATAGGCATTAAAAATTTATCTTGTGTTATGTAATTTTAACAAGTACTATTTTTCATGCTCCAAACAAAAAATCAATCTTATGATATCATATTTAAAAAGATATTTCTAACCATTTCTGAAAAGTAATATGTTAATTTATTAACCACACATATATATATATATATCTTTTGGTGAAATGAAATTTAAAAATCTTTAAATGAAATAACTCACCATTTATTTTGTGTTTGATGATTTCATTTCATACATTGTATGTTTTTCTACATATTATTTAAAAACAATAAAGCTAAAATAAAAAAATAAAATGAAAAAAAATCTCATATATGATAAAAACTAAGTCAAAACAACTTTAGCATATTATATATATTGCAATACTTGGAACTGAAGTATGACAAAATTTTTGTAAGCAGTGAATCAGAGAATAGTATTTTAATAATTTGTTGTTGTTCTTAATGAATCACTTAAATTTAGCTGATGCATACAGCATGATATTTAAAATATTGTCATTATATATAAGTAAACTGTTTCTTTTTCAACCTCCAATTCCAATGGTCCATAAAACAAACACAAGCATAAATAACAAAATCAATGTATTACCAAAAGTTAAGTACAAACATGATTACTTTTCAACATAATCACTGTGAAGATTAAGGCATTTGTCTATCTGTGGACGAACTTTGAAATCTCCTCTTTGTAGAATGGTGCTGCCAGTGACTTGAGATGGGTGTTAATGTTGTTTTGAAGATCACCATTAGTCTCAAACTTCTGTCCTCCTAACCACTTTTTCTGTTCAGGAAAAAAGTGGAAGTCTCTCAGCACTAAATTGGGGCTATATGCTGGGTGTACTACTACCATTCAGACTTCCACCCAGCTTGCAACTTTTTAATGTGTGAAGACTTCCACCTCTTTCCTGAACTGAAAACAAGGCTAGAAGGGCAGAGGTTTGAGACTAATGACAATCTTCAAAACAACATCGTTAAGGCCTGGCAGCAACATTCTATGAAGAGGGGATTTCAAAGCTTGTCCACAGATAGACAAATGCCTCAATCTTCACAGTGATTTATGTTGAAAAGTAATCATGTTTGTACTTAACTTTTGGTAATACATTGATTTTGTTATTTACACTTGTCTTTTATGGACCATCAGAGCTTGAAAAAAAAACAGCCCTTGTATATAAATAATGTTAGGTAATATTAATTTAAATACTGAAAATTTATTGGAACTTTAGTCTTTAATTCTTAATATTTTCATGAAAGCATATCCTCTTGTTTTAGACTCTCATTATTTCCCTATGAATACCAGAGGTTTCTGCTATAATTAACAACTTGAGCATGCAGATCTTGATCTCATGTTTGCTGTGACTGTTGCAGGTGATTAACTATCGTAAAGAGCTTTTATGGGTATCCATGTTTTATTGTTACATATTCAATATAATTATGTTCCTTCAGTATGTTTAGGATGTCAGAGCAGTGGATGAAGGCTCTTTTTGGATGAGCACTCAGAGGGACAAGAGTTTGAAGATGTGCAAGTCATAAGAGATTGTCAGACAGAAGAAAGGAGGTATTCCAGTTTATGATAGATGTTGGAGGTGATGTGTCCTTCTTTTAGGGTTCTTTTGGTTCACTCTCAGGTTAAGGCTATACACACTATTATTGATGTGCTCAGTGAATCTTTTTGTCATGGATTGCCAGAAGATTAGGATGTCATCCACATAATCTCACATATAGGATTATGTTGGAAAGGTAACATGTTAGAAATAATCATTCAAGTGCTCTGATAACATGTTTACACAGATCTCCTAAGAGAAGATCAGGAAAGTAACACAAGTGCACTTCCTCAACAGTTTGGAAAAGTAGACTTTAGGTTAACCTAAACTTAACTATTTTAAACTGTTTTAGTCAAACATCCTAAACTTAACAGTGCATCAAGGCATAATAAAACTTTTCTCCATTGAAAAAAACAAAACAGTTGCAAGTGATGTATCAATGATGTAGACAATTATCAATAATTTAAAATTAGTACATTATTGACAAAATATAATTAGGATATAAATGAAATTGCTGCATAATGATATGTCTTTCTTTTTATTAAATGTTAAAAGATAATTTTAATTTGTCAAGTGTAAATGTACTAGTATTTTAATTGATGTAACTGCAATAAAGTGTTACTAAACGTTAGCAAAAGTGCTTGTTTCCAATTAATGACTTTAAATGATTCATTGAATTTAAGAGCAAATGGATCTAAGATGTAATCATAAGTCACATATATCCTTGGTTATTTTATTTAATATTTATTTAAAATAATCATTCAAAATATCCATATAATAGTTTGTTTTTATTTTTTGTGTCTATTAAATATAATATTGACTTTAAACTAATATACTTAAAAATATCAAAAATTCTTATAAAATTAATAAAATTACATATCAAATATAATATTCTTATACTGAAAATAATGACACATTATTTTAGTAGCCTATCTATTTACATCTGTTTGCATTCTTATCTTCAGAATTATAAGAAAAAAGCAAAAATTATTACAATATCCAACAGCCAACGGTTCTTTTTTTTTCTTCATACTATCCAAAAGTTCATCTGTTGTGAAATACAGTGAAAAAATTATGATAAACACTTGTAGTATGTTATCAATTCTTGGATTAAATAATCAATAACAAACTTTCATCATTTCAATAATACTTTCATCATCATTTAAAAATTATATATAAATTAACTAAATCAATAATAATTTTATCTTTAATGAAGTCAATTATTATAAAAATTATATAAATTTTTGTTTCATCAAAGTATACATTACTTCTAGACCATCAATCAAAAAATACTTGGATAGCTATCAATGGAATTATTGATTGTTAAATAATATATGTCAAAACTACTTGAAAGAAATTGTTATCTTTATAAATCAATTATATGACAACATATGAAAGCAAAATATATTAAATCTTAAAGAAACAGAGCATTTGAATAATTACACTCAAGTCGTAATTTCTGAAAAATTTCATTTTTTCACAATTGCTACGACGATTAACCGCATACTAAATATATTGCATTTAATTTACCATTACATCCACATTTTCTTTTCTTTTTAATATAATTCCAAAATTTCTCTTTTTTTAATGGGAGAAAAACCACTCTTCCCAATATATAATAGTGGGGCAACAAATCATGATACTATTATTACTACTACTACTTACAGCTGTTGAAGTATCAAGGCAATAAAACACACCTTGACCTATTAAGCTAGAAAAGCTTTCTGAAAGATCTGTTACTCCTTATAAATTCTTACAGATAATCTTCATACAAAAATATAAATACTGAAACTGGAAGACAATTTCAAATAATTTAAAATTTTATTTTGTATAAAAGATTGAAATTTCTGCTACATTAATTTTTTTTTCTTATCTTTTCCTTCAATATGTATGTAAATATTACAATAAATTATTTGATATCATTTATAACACGGTAATTACAGTAAAACCTGTGTAAACCGGAATCGCACCGTACCGAATATTTTTCTGATTTGGCAGGTTTTGCATAGGTTTTTTTGTTTTTTTTTAACATGAAAATCATTCCGTTCCGAAGATTTTTTCTGGTTTCCATTTTACTCGGGTTCCGTTTTAGACAGGTTTTACTGTATTTACAAAACACAGCATTGTAGAGCATAAACACATATTCATTGTAGTTTCAGACACCGCAGCGTGCATTAAAATAATCAATTTCAAGAATTCTTTCTACAGATCTTGAAAATTGATCAATTTCGATAGATAACGAACAGTATGAGAGATTAAATGCAACTAAGGAAATCGAACCTTGTCACACAACTGGTTATTTATTATCCGACCCAAATACGAACGTAACAAGAATATTAATAGTTAAAAGGGTTTAACTTACGTTTTTTTACTTTCTTAACTTGACTCCATTGCCGTCCTTTGTTTAAAAATACATAAATAACAAAACATCATTATTAATACATTAATATTTTTTCAAAATAACATCATAAATTGGCGCAAAAATCAAAACATAGAAACTTCCCGACTTTAGTTCACATAGTAGCCGTTAGGCGTACACTAAAGTCATCTCGGTTCGTTATTGAAAAAAATAATAATAATAATTAATTAATTTTTACTTTTTATTTAATTAATTTTTCAAGATTTTTTTAAAATTCCGTATACAATACTATAAAATTATTAGCTAAACAAATATTAAAATACCAAAAAATATACTAAGTTCGATCATTTATGTATATACTGTAATTCGGCTAAATATAACAAAATCAATAAAATAAATCTATAAGTGAATGTATTTACTTAAAAGTCTAGTTATATATATATACACTTATCGTATAAAAATAACCACAAAAACTGGTGAAAGCAAGCATGGCGGTATATAAACAATACGAGTTCTCAATTAAACATAGCAAGTTCAATAGTAGCAGTGATAAGTGTTCGTCTCATTGTTATAAAGTTTAATTTATATAATTTTTAAGTTAATTGCGAAACATAAGCAAAAACTATTAAGCACAGAATAAATTAATCTAAAATACATGAAAATGTAAAAACAATTGTTAATATATTCAATGTAATAAAAAAATTATTATTGAAATGGTGCAAAAAAAAATGTTATGGTTCCATTAAAAAATGGTAATGGCGTGAGTTTTGTTTAGGATGAACTTTTTATTTATTTCTGCTTCTTTAGCCACAATCTTTTCAATAGTATAACAATATAAACGAATTAACATTCCGAAATTTTAAATATTGTGTTGTTACGAACTCTAGATACACTTATTTATTCATAAAGTAAATGTAATATTGCTATTTCATTAATCCCGCATACGATATTAAACTAAAACAATCCCTAAAATACCATATAAAAACCTCCCAACCAGTGGCACACTCAAAATTTAATCTTGGCGGAAGCCGATTTAAATGGATAAAAACATATTTGATGCGAATTCAATAAAATTGCCATCTTATGTGACCGATAAGTAATCGAAGATAAGACATAATATAAATAAAAAAATTAATTTTAATTAAGAAAAATTTTTGGAAAATTTACTAGTGTTCTTTTCCTTTTACTTTGGGAGATGCCAAGGCTCCTTGGACCATTCTGGGTGCTCCACTGCTCTTTACTATAGTCATTTCTAAACGACAGCTATTTTTCAGGAATGTAACTTTTTGAAATATAAACAAATTAATCTTCAAACAACGGTCATTTTTAATGTTTCTGTCAGTGGTCGGTGTTCAGAGATGCATTATAATATGTTTTAAGATAATAAACTTTAAATATTTATGAAAGAATAAAATAAATTATAATGAAATTATTAAAAGCTTTTCTTTTCTTTCAATTAATGGAATTATATAATATTTATCTCTCGCTATCTTTTAGAAATTTTTAAACTTTACTCATCTTTCTATTTTAATACGCTTTTTTATTACGTTACGAAATACATAATTTCCCTTGCGTCAACGGATATTGCTAATAAGGAAATTCATGCTTCAAGGAATACTGAGAATGTGTTACGAATTTATAAAATGGAAACTATTTTATTTACGTGATTTATACCTAATAAAAGATCAATAAACATAAACATATTTTATACATTGTGTATTTATCAATCTATTATCATTATTATTATTGACTTATATAATAAAAATGGAAAATGTCACGCTAAGAGAATAAGTGACATGCAATATATAAATTAAGATAATGCAGAAAATCTGTTTTAAAATCAAATGTTATAAAGAATTTACGTCAACAACTCCTGCAAATCATCTTTAGCGTAACATAAAAATCATAATTTATAACGAAGAAACATAGCAATTATTATTCCAAAGTATTTATGAAACACATTATGCAAATTTATTCAAGATGACTGACTGGCCGAGCTTGCAATTTGCATTTTTATTGCTTCATAAACATTGATTCGAATTCGATTCAGAAGTTCAGTAATGTTTTATAATTTGTCTGGCCATATATATGAGTCACTGCCTTATTTTCTGGCCCAACCCATAACAATTTATCTAAGTGAGAGGATTATTTTAAGTGAGAGGATTATTTTAAAAACAGTTAAGAATGCACTTTGTATTCCTGAAAACACTTTTAATGAGTTTATATTATTTATAGGAATATGGCATAAATAAAATTTGAATTACTTAAAAGTAAAAAGTTTTATGTAGTTTATATCATATCAGTACCAGTGCCGGGAATGAAAAATAATAAAGTAAGGCAAGCTTTGCTAATGCCACCCTATTGTATATGAAATTAATAATGTGAATAAAAACTTCTACTGTTGCGCCTATGCACTTTAAAATTTTTTGCGCATTTACAGCCTCACGCGTTTTTGTTTTTATGATAAAATATTCAAAATATTTTTAAGATGAGTTTATTAGGCCGTCACCTAGAGCCTCAAATCGTCATCCGGTTCTGTACAATAGATTACTATATATAATATACAAACATTCAATTATATGTAAATCATATCCGTATTGAGATCTGCTGCTATGATTGTTTTTTGAATACCGTAATTCTTTACATTTATATAATACCGGGAGAATATATGTGAGAAGTAAAAAGAATAAATATAGATGACAAAGTAAACTTTTACCTTTAGTAAAAGTTTGATACAATACCTTTTATCAGCCCTTTAAAATAATAGTCAATCTAAGGAAAGAAAGCGAAAAAAACAAATCGTTCATAAAAAAGAAAGTTGAATTCTAATTAATTAATTAAAATAGCGTTACAAAAAACTCGTTCCTTAAGGCCATTTTTGAAAAAAAAATTTTTTTTTCAATTTTTGGAATGTTTTTAAGTCTCCAAATTTTTTCAAAAATTTTTACCTGCGCGAAAAAATTTTATCGCGATTTTAATCTACCTTTAATGACGCACGATTAACACTTAATTGTTTTTTAATGGGATTTTTTTTATCAAATTTAATTCATCGTTCTAAAGTTCTAGCGCACGGATTTTCCTTCGGTAAAGTTATTTAAAGCTACTTTCTGATGTCAAAAACAGCCTCCAATAGTTTTTTAATTTTTTTAATTAATAGATNGTGCTCGAACAATTCGGTATTCAAACACAAATTCTGGGAAAAAGTCACTCAGTACTCAACTGAATAAATGCAACCCACTTGAACGAATTTTCAATTAATAACATTATGAGAATGTCCCGGGAAATCCGACTCCAGCTGTTCTCAAGGTCATCCAGCTGTGTAAACAATGACTCATCGGTGTCAAATTTCACAGAAAGGCGAGACAAAGGAAGTTAAACTTTGAAGCTTTTCCTTCAAAATTAACGAATTTCTTTCGTTATTTTTAGTTTTAAGTATTTTTTATGTTTAATTATAATTAATTAAAAATTAATCGGGAATGAAGGAGTTAATTAATACGCTTCAGATTCGCATTCGAGTCTTGTCTTGTAAAACTCATACGATAAATCTTTATCTTAGATTATCCAACAAATCACATTGTCTCACATATTTCACAACCAGTCTTGAGTTTCATGTTTTTATATTAGCAAATCTCAATACTTTATGAAATATGAAAATATTTTGCACTTTCACCTGTTGGAAGCGCGACGTATAGCTAAATGAGACTATATTCATTATTAATGAAATATCTTCTGCTTTGAGTATTTTTCATCAATACTCTTACTATAAAACTTACAACAAGCTGTAATACGATAATTTACATTTTAACAGTGCAAAGAGCCTTGGCATCTCCCAAAGTAAAAGGAAAAGAGTTAAGGAGTCAGCCTACTACACTGAGAAACCCGGGATCGAATCCAGGCGAGCAAAACCGGGAATTTTTCAGGAAATTGTCTGTCCCAGATATGATGGATGCATCACTTTCACCCGGCTACCCAAAAAGAAAGAAAAAACCACACACAAACACACTGTCGAGTCCGCTTAAGCTAATTGCTCACTTATCCGGTTCTGCAAGTGGACTGGACTGTATATGGCGCGGCTTCAATAAACGAGTACTCGATATATAATTCGCTATCATTACAAAACTTTTCGAAATTTCAAACGTATATTAAAGAATATTATTTTTAATTTTAAATAAATTAAAAATAATTATTTAAACCTTTTTTTTAAATATGTTTAGTAATAATAATAAAAAAATATGTATAAAACCGTTGAAGTTGGCAACGTGACGTAATCCGTTATGTAGTCTGCTGTAAAGAAGGTAATTTTCTTGTTTATAAATAAATGAATGGATAAATAAATAAATAAATATTGAAAAAGTTTTTCACTTATATTTATAATTAAAATCACGTTAATTTACAGGTTAATTTTAAACTGGAGAAGGGATGATTCGTTTGTCCGTGAGAGATGTCTCGTCTAATGATGGCAATTCCAATTTCGATGTAACTGCTCATAATGGAAAATATTTAGCAGTTAAATTAAAGACTAATAAAGACATAGGAATTTGGTTTTTGAAAGATCAGGTAAATTTAATACAAGAAATTTTATTACTTATATGGTATTAAATAATACTGCACAAAACATTAAACATTACATCCTTTAATTTAGAGGCTTTGTTATGGTAAAATATAAATAGAAAAGAAGTCTTGAAAAAATTTAAAAGATAATAAGCAAATTTGATATTATGGTAAATAATAATTATACGAGGCGTGTTTTTAAAGTAAGTACCGTTTTGAAATATAAAAAAAACAAGCAAACATTTTTAACAAAATTTTTATTTATGTGAAAGCCCATATTTTACACTACTTTTCTACATAATTCCCATTAATATTGAGACACTTATCGTATCGTGGGACCAGCTTTTGTATTCCATCCTCAAAGAATGTTGCCGCCTGATGAGACAACCACTGCAGAACGGTCGTTTTGACTTCGTCGTGATTGTTATGGCGCTGCCCTGCCAGATGCTTCTTCAAATGCAGAAACAAATGATAGTCACTCGGCGCTAGGTCGGGACTGTATGGAGGGTGGTCTAATTGTTCCCAGCCAAATGATGTGATTAGGTCTTGAGTTTGATTTGCCGTATGTGGACGAGCATTATCGTGGAGCAAAACGACACCCTTGCTCAGTAAGCCCCGCCTTTTGTTTTGTACTGCACGGCGCAGTTTTTTTAAAGTCTCACAGTATGCAGCTGAATTGATCGTTTCACCATGAGGCAAAAAATCAACAAGCAACACTCTGTATCTGTCCCAAAACACCGTGCACATGATTTTCTGAGCAGAAATTGTTTGCTTGAACTTGACTTTCCTTGGAGATGATGAATGTCGCCATTCCATGGATTGTTGCTTTGATTCCGGTGTAACGTAGGCTACCCACGTTTCATCGCCTGTAACAATACGACTTAAAAAATCATCTCCTTCGTCACTGTAGCGCTCAAGAAAAGTCAATGCACTGGCCAAACGTTTGGTTTTGTGCTCCTCTGTCAACATTTTCCGCACCCAACGGGAACACAACTTCCGATAATTTAATCGTCCAGTCACAATTTCATAGAGAACACTTCTTGAAACTGCAGGAAACTGTTTAGATAAAGATGAAATTGTGAATCGTCTGTTTTCTTTCACTCTACAGTCCACTTTTTCAATCAAATCGTCGATAATGACTGAAGGTCGCCCACTTCGTTCCTCATCGTGAATGTTTGTGTGGCCATTACTAAAGGCCCTAACCCATTTTCGTACCATTCCTTCACTCATAATGCTTTCACCATAAACTTCACTGATTTGGCGATGAATTTCAGCCGCTTTTGAGCCTTTCGCGCTGAGAAAACAAATAACGGCACGCACTTTGCAGTCGGCGGGATTCTCAATGAGAGGCGGCGTTTCAATAACACACAAACAACAGTAAACACAGTCGACTGGCTCCGTAATGGCATTTGTGGCTTCCCAACAGATGTAGGTACACAGCGCGCATGCGCTAAGTGCCGACTGCAGCACTCCAGCGGCGTTGTATTAAAACAGTACTTACTTTAAAAACACGCCTCATATAATGAAGTAATCAATAATCTTTAACAGTGAGTAAAGTTGAAAAAATGATAAGATGGACTGTAATTTTGGCACTTACACAGCACCTGGCTTATTTACTATATCTCATCTTTCTTATCTGACACTGGTATTCTTTTATGTAGGTTTGTAGCTAGAGGGGGCCTAGGAGTGGTCAAAAGTTTCCGAGATGGCTGAAACTTTTCACCTGGATCTTCTTTTCCCGGTAAGGCCATCTGTTCCGCAACCGACTACAGGGGTTGGAGCCATTCCTACTGTAGTTAGTCTCGCTACGTCTTCACCTTTATGTTCATTTATGCTTGAAGATGGCTCATTAAATGAATTGAAAACAGGAAAGAATTAGCATTTTTCCAACCTTACTCACTGTTAAAGGTGTATTGGTTAATGGATTAAGTTAACTGCAGTGATTAGTTCAACTTTAATAATAATAATAATAATATAATTTCTGGGAGTAATTTTGCACTGTATTTCACTTTATTTAGGACAATATTTGGATAATTTTTAACATATTTTCAAAAATAAATTTTATGATATAAATTGAATTGTTGTCAAATTGCTTTCAGATATCAGGAGAATTTCAGATAGCGAATATAAACTGAATTAATTGAATTATTTGGACTAATATCTGATAACTTTTCAAATTTTTGATATTTTTCTAAACTGTTTTTAAGCAGGAGAATATAGTGCATATATTGGCTTATGCTATACTCTCCTGTTTAAAAATGTCTCTACAGATAAGAATTTTCAAAGCATTCCAAAAATAGAAACTTTCCTAAGATTTAAAAGATTCAAAACTTCGACCGAAGCAGACTTCTTGAAAAAGCCAAAAACATTTGTAAAGCGTACGGCTGTCTGCTGGAAAAGTAAACAAGCTGTGTTTATCTTTATAGTTACATTTATTCAAGTTTGGATAACTCAATTTATATCTAGTTAATATGTACAAAATTTATTATTTTAATGTAATGAATTCAGATATTCATTAAAGAGATTACAACAGTTTATAAAAATTATTATTGCATGGTCCAAGTATATTTTTGAAATTGAGTAGAAGATTGTAAAAATATTTCCAAATTTATGTTTTCAATTACAAAGAATTCTGTTGAAGAAGTTGGTAAATGAATTTTAAGTAAAAGGTTACCTCGATTAAAATTATCTGGAAGGAATAATTATCTAAATTTAATAATTTTTTATTGACTTTGAAATTTTACTAAAATATATTTTTTCTTTTAATTTATTCACTAGAAAAATATTTATTTAATTTTATTTTCAGCCTGTTATACTTACTGGACATCATTTACCAATTCAGGCATTATCATTTTGTCATCCACATCAGGGTGATTTCTTATGTTCCTGTTCTGATGATAATGTTATTTTATGGGATTTATCTCAATATATTGGAAATGGTAATGTACTGTACATTACAATAAAGTTTTGTGTTTAAATTTGAAATGTATTTGTAGTGTTATAAATTGTAATATTACAATATAAAAGCATTTAAATAAATATATAATAAAATAAATGAAAAAAATTACGCACATGGAACCAGTTTATGGTGTGGTAACATCGAAAAAAACAAACGTTTTCAAACCCCTTCTGGGCTCTGCATCAGGTTCTAATGGTTTTGAGACAGGAATTTGATTAATGAATGCCGTTTACCTAAGAGTTTGATCTTGAGTTTGAAACAATTTACAAAAAATTTACATCAGCCTGCCCAGATACAATGAGTGGCTAGAGCGTGCTGTGATGCAGAGGGTTTTGAAAATGGTTTGTGTTTTCGATGTTTTTTGATGTTAGCACACCGTAAATTGGTTCCATGGGCGTAATTTTTTAAGTTAGTGTGGTGTGGTGAGTAGTTATTTAATGTTTATATAATAAAATATGAGATTTTTCTTTATATTAAGCAAGTTTTTTTTATTAATTAAGTAATAAATAAAAATATAAAACCATATATTTGTGTGAGCCAAAAGTTGTAAGAGTTCATCAATGTTTTCGGGAAACATGAGTACAATTAAAAGTAATTGCCACTGATGTTTACACAACTGTCCAACTTTGTGATTAGTTTATATTCATAGATACCATAATAGAAGTAAGTCTTTGATTGTTCTCAAACCATTTCTCAACATCCCACGTCAAATCATTGTCTGATGTAAAGTGCCTTCTTCAGAGGTCCAAAGACAAGTTAGAGTTGCCATAAATTCAAAACCAGAAATAAGGACATTGTAAGTGAGGTAGCATTGTGATAAAAATTGATGGAAACCATTCAGCATTAGGTAGACAGTAGTTGCTTTGGAAAACAAGTGAATAATTTTATTGAAATAATAAGATTATTGAACATTTTTTACTATTTGTTAAACCAATCATACTTGTTTGACTTACATCCAGCTGCCCTCGTTGTGGACTTAGCTGAATCCACGATGGACACAATTAAAAATAAAGGTCCTCTTATCACCCACAGAATGAAAAAAGTCAAAAAACAGAAAAGTTAGACAATGGCCAGATGCAACCATTCATCCATTGTTGCTGATTGCACAAAGTCATCAATGATTTGAAGTCATTGTGTTACACAAGGCCAACAGAACACAATACATGCTCCACAGATTACTAATGGTGAGCATGTAAAGATAGGTGGCCTATGCATGCACATCTGCAGACACCTCCCTCCTGCACTTTTTATTTGATGATTTTTAATACAAATCTGAATATTTTTGGTAGAAATGAACAAATCAGGACATTTTGGATAAATGTTTCCAATTGGGAAAAAGTGTTTCAAATTGGACAAATCCAAGAAATAAGATACAGTAGACCCCCCTATAATGCTTAGATACATTCCACGTTAATCGAAGTTTACGTTGTAGGAATCATTAAATACATGAGCCAATCGCAGCCCAACCTTACTCACTGTTAAAGGTGTATTGGTTAATGGATTAAGTTAACTGCAGTGATTAGTTCAACTTTAATAATAATAATAATAATATAATTTCTGGGAGTAATTTTGCACTGTATTTCACTTTATTTAGGACAATATTTGGATAATTTTTAACATATTTTCAAAAATAAATTTTATGATATAAATTGAATTGTTGTCAAATTGCTTTCAGATATCAGGAGAATTTCAGATAGCGAATATAAACTGAATTAATTGAATTATTTGGACTAATATCTGATAACTTTTCAAATTTTTGATATTTTTCTAAACTGTTTTTAAGCAGGAGAATATAGTGCATATATTGGCTTATGCTATACTCTCCTGTTTAAAAATGTCTCTACAGATAAGAATTTTCAAAGCATTCCAAAAATAGAAACTTTCCTAAGATTTAAAAGATTCAAAACTTCGACCGAAGCAGACTTCTTGAAAAAGCCAAAAACATTTGTAAAGCGTACGGCTGTCTGCTGGAAAAGTAAACAAGCTGTGTTTATCTTTATAGTTACATTTATTCAAGTTTGGATAACTCAATTTATATCTAGTTAATATGTACAAAATTTATTATTTTAATGTAATGAATTCAGATATTCATTAAAGAGATTACAACAGTTTATAAAAATTATTATTGCATGGTCCAAGTATATTTTTGAAATTGAGTAGAAGATTGTAAAAATATTTCCAAATTTATGTTTTCAATTACAAAGAATTCTGTTGAAGAAGTTGGTAAATGAATTTTAAGTAAAAGGTTACCTCGATTAAAATTATCTGGAAGGAATAATTATCTAAATTTAATAATTTTTTATTGACTTTGAAATTTTACTAAAATATATTTTTTCTTTTAATTTATTCACTAGAAAACTATTTATTTAATTTTATTTTCAGCCTGTTATACTTACTGGACATCATTTACCAATTCAGGCATTATCATTTTGTCATCCACATCAGGGTGATTTCTTATGTTCCTGTTCTGATGATAATGTTATTTTATGGGATTTATCTCAATATATTGGAAATGGTAATGTACTGTACATTACAATAAAGTTTTGTGTTTAAATTTGAAATGTATTTGTAGTGTTATAAATTGTAATATTACAATATAAAAGCATTTAAATAAATATATAATAAAATAAATGAAAAAAATTACGCACATGGAACCAGTTTATGGTGTGGTAACATCGAAAAAAACAAACGTTTTCAAACCCCTTCTGGGCTCTGCATCAGGTTCTAATGGTTTTGAGACAGGAATTTGATTAATGAATGCCGTTTACCTAAGAGTTTGATCTTGAGTTTGAAACAATTTACAAAAAATTTACATCAGCCTGCCCAGATACAATGAGTGGCTAGAGTGTGCTGTGATGCAGAGGGTTTTGAAAATGGTTTGTGTTTTCGATGTTTTTTGATGTTAGCACACCGTAAATTGGTTCCATGGGCGTAATTTTTTAAGTTAGTGTGGTGTGGTGAGTAGTTATTTAATGTTTATATAATAAAATATGAGATTTTTCTTTATATTAAGCAAGTTTTTTTTATTAATTAAGTAATAAATAAAAATATAAAACCATATATTTGTGTGAGCCAAAAGTTGTAAGAGTTCATCAATGTTTTCGGGAAACATGAGTACAATTAAAAGTAATTGCCACTGATGTTTACACAACTGTCCAACTTTGTGATTAGTTTATATTCATAGATACCATAATAGAAGTAAGTCTTTGATTGTTCTCAAACCATTTCTCAACATCCCACGTCAAATCATTGTCTGATGTAAAGTGCCTTCTTCAGAGGTCCAAAGACAAGTTAGAGTTGCCATAAATTCAAAACCAGAAATAAGGACATTGTAAGTGAGGTAGCATTGTGATAAAAATTGATGGAAACCATTCAGCATTAGGTAGACAGTAGTTGCTTTGGAAAACAAGTGAATAATTTTATTGAAATAATAAGATTATTGAACATTTTTTACTATTTGTTAAACCAATCATACTTGTTTGACTTACATCCAGCTGCCCTCGTTGTGGACTTAGCTGAATCCACGATGGACACAATTAAAAATAAAGGTCCTCTTATCACCCACAGAATGAAAAAAGTCAAAAAACAGAAAAGTTAGACAATGGCCAGATGCAACCATTCATCCATTGTNACTCAACTTACTCGCCTAAACTCTCCGTAGCGTGGCGCTGGACAGTGGAAAGTATATATATAATTATAATAAAGTTACAATAAATTAAGTTAATATATAATTATATATACAGTACCTAATTTATATATAATTAGTATATAATTATATGTACAGTACCTAATTTATATATAATACTAAACAGACGATAGCAAACTCAATTTAGCCACCTAAACTCTCCGTAGCGTGGCGCAGGGCGAAGGAAAGTAGTTCGGCTGCTCATCCACTATTGGTCCAGATTCTATCAATCTTGTCGCGACATGAGTTGGCGACGACGTTTTAGGAGTTCCTTTATACGAATATTGCTACAATTTTTTCGCTACGTTATAGGAATTTCCATTATAGGAACCCACGTTATAGGGGGGTCAACTGTATATCGCAACTCTATACAGGGTGACGTGAGGGATAAGGAAGTGTTTTGGGTTTGGAAACTTGTATGTCAAATTTTTTGAATAGTGTCATTCACTTTTTTCAGCATGCCAGCTGTTGACAGCAATATCCAGATGGCTTAAACACACACTTGATTTGTAGTGTCTTTGGTTCTGATATTTGGAATGATAAGCAGGTTCCATTGTATACTGCCCAAATCTGTCTATGGATTTTGGCTGCTCTACAACCCTCTACAACAAAAAACTGGATCACAGCTCATTGATCAGTTTCAGATTAATTTGGTGTTGTTGCAAGTCATCATTTTTTTCTTGATGCACTGCAGATTGATATGCCGGATGGAAATGTTTGCATGGAAAGTAACACTGTTTGGAAATGTAAATCATACAAATGGACTGTCACAAACCCATACAGGTTGCTCAAATAAACGTACAATGATTTGACTCCCTCTTACAACTTTTGGCTGTACGAATATATTATATAAACTATTTTAATAAGTTTTCTAGAAAAGTCATGTTATATTTGTTGTATTAATAAATAAGTATTTTATTTCATGCAAATTAAAATATTAATTTTAAGAAATATTGTAAAATATTTTAAAAAATTTTTAGTGATCAAATTAGCAACATAATAAACCTATACAATACTTCCCGACTTTAGTCCACATAGTAGCCGTTAGGCGTACACTAAAGTCATCTCGGTTCGTTATTGAAAAAAATAATAATAATAATTAATTAATTTTTACTTTTTATTTAATNTTTTCATTATTTACTTGAACTTGGCTTGAAAAAAACTTTAATTGTATTCAATACTTTATAATATTATGAAGTATTATTATATTTTTGATGTACAGTTTACAAGCACTATTGTATATGATAGTTTAGAAGATAACAATAGTTTTAAATCATTAAAGGAAATATATTTATATTATAGTTATTATAAAATAGATAATTTTTCTGTTATATCAATATATGTAAAATTAGATTTACATATCCATGACCTAACATTGAAAAAATAAAATAATTTGATAATAATATTATAATTTTGAAAACATTTATTTATTATATTTTCCTTTTAATGTGCACTTAAAAGTTCTTGTTCTTCTTTACATATTATAGTGGAATAACATTAAATAATGAATGAATTTTAAATTTAAAAATTGTTAAATATTTATAAGAAAAATTTAATATCAATTGAAAACTTTGCTTATAAATAATGAGCCGACAAGATCTTTCACAGATTGGATGATATACAGTTTTAATAAAGAATGTAATTTTGAAAGAAATTGAATATTTTTGATGAAGTTGCAAAAATGAAGAATGTTAGTACAAAAAGTGAAAGAATAAGTGATAAAATACATTCTTTAAAACTTTTTTCAGTAATGAAAATCATAAATATACAAATTCAATTTTGAAATTACAGTTTAATCAACAATTAATATACTTTGATTTATATTTTAGAAAGATGAAGTGAGCAAAGCAAAGTGATTTTTGCAAAATTGTCAACTTAATTAATTACAATAATATGAATTTAATACATTTATTAAAGAAACTTCTTAAATGTAAATCCAATACAAACAGCTTTTCTTCAGAACAAAAATTTTTTGTAGAAATCTTGTGTTTTCAGATTAAATGCATGTAATGTTGATGATAATGTAGGCTGAAAACACTTAAAGTGTCAGAAAAATTTTTTGCTCTGAAAAAAAAGCAGCTTGAATTTAAATCAACATTTCAGAGAAAATTTATAGAGGAAAGGTTTTATATTCTTGCTTGAATGGAATATCATCTTGTTGCTTCAGTTATTATGAATTGAAAATAGCTCTATGCAGCAAAAGGAAAATTTATATTTTAGATTTAAAAGTAAGTTATTTTACATTTTGCAAAATAATATTTTGTAATTAATTTTTATTATTAGCATAAATTTAAGATTTAACTTTAGAATTTGGTCAATATTATTAAAGTAATTCTCATTGAATATAATTCTTCAAATAGCATTATAGTTTGTAAATATTTTGACAATTTTTAGTTATTTTATATATATTTGAGAGGGATATGATTTTGAATATTCTAGACATGGTGTTCTACATTCTACATATCTACATTTGTGACCTCCTATCTTAGATAGAAATTCAGAAATTCAAACTGCATTAATAACTATCAATAAAAACATCAAAAACTTTAAACATGTATGATATACAGTAGATCCCCCTATAACACTGGTTCCTATAGTTCGGATTCCTATATGACAGCAAAAAAATTGCAACGGTATCCGTACAAATATGGTAAAAAACTCCTATAATTCAGTAAAACATCATCTGGCAGCCGAACTGCTTTCTGCCGTCCAGTGCCATGCCAAGGAGAGTTTAGGCGGGTAAATTGAGTTTACTGTCGTCTGTACAGTATTATATATAAATTATATATAAATTAGGTACTGTACATATAATTATATATAAATTAGGTACTGTTAGGTAAGGTAATATATAATTATATATTAACTTAATTTATTATAACTTTATTATAATTATGTATATACTTTCCGCCATCCAGCGTCACACTACGGAGAGTTTAGGCGAGTAAGTTGAGTTTACTATCGTCTGTACAGTATGTAAATTAGGAACCGTAAGTCTAATACAGCACTAATTTTATACATTTTTTGTGAAAGAAATATTTCTTATTCAATGGCCATAAAAATTATTTATATTAATGATGTCTCCAAAGTTCAACGAAGTTTTTGCAGAAAAATAACTTATCAGAAATTGCGCCTGCCATTTGGTGTGCTGCTCCGCGACGAAAACAAGCTTAAGCAATGCCGACGGCGAACGGTGCACACTCGGTAAGTAATCCTACAAGTTTTTGTTTATAGCATAGTTTATATGGATTATTCTCAAAAAAATATACGTATTTTGGAAATGTTGAGTCAAATTAGTCTAGGAATCGATTAATTTTATGGAAGAAAACCTTTCAAACAGCCATAGTCTGTAAACTTCACACGTGTCGGGCTGTGATTGGCAAGGACTCATACAAAACGGATTCATAAAGAACGGAACATATCTACCGTGTTATAGGGGGGTCAACTGTACTAAGATTGTAGTAACAGTTTGGCTGGACTGGCCATGAAACACTTTTTGCTGCCAACATTACAAATACAGTGGTGCTTCATACTTCATATTTAATTATTCCAGGAGGTCATTTGAACTCAAAATTGTTTGAAGTCTCAATCAATTTTTCCCATTACAAATAATGGAAAGTGAATTAATCCATTCCCAGACCCTGAACAATACTCATTTTAATAAACTTAAAACAGCAAATACACATAATATAAGATAAAAATAACACAGTTAAATGTCTTAATAATAAATTGAAACAGGAAAATCATGAACAAAATATGTAAATACTGTATAATAAAATCAAAACTGTATTTATTGGTCCCACACTTTCCCATCTTAACATTAACATAGGTGTGTGATTTAATTTTGTGAAATTTTACTTATTATAGATATTGTGAGATTTTATTCTTTATTTAGAAGCTTATTTTAAACTCTACTTCATATTTTGTTTGAATAAAATCAACTTGTAATATCTTTGGATAAAAAGCATATCAGGAATATTGTTTTATGACTTTGAAAAAGGAAATAACACCATACAAAACAGTAAAAACAATTGTAAAGTGTATGAGGAAGATGCTCCTAAACTTCAAATATGTCAAATATAATTTGAACTAAAGGATGCAAAACAAGGGCACCCAAAATCTGTTGATGAAGAAAAATTGCGTGAAAAAATTGTTAAAGATCAATAAATAACACACAATACAGTATATATAACCAAACAAACCAAAAAGAAAGTGAAAAAAGCACTGAAAACATACTAGCATAATGTAAGAGTGAGAGCAAGAGATGAGTTGGACACATAACAGATTGTGTCTATGCTTCAAATACATTTTTTACTGTGTGCACAGTTTGAACTTCAAAGCATCGTTCAAATGCCAAGATAAAATTTTGTCAAATTTAAACTCAAGCATTCAAAGTACAAAGTATCCTACTGTACAATTTTAATTTCAAATCACCCACTAGTGTGTAACACTGTCAAGTCAAGCCTATAGATTTTTTCAAAGAGGAAAGGGAAAGGGAAAATCAATACCATAGGGATTACTTCCCCCTTAAAGTGACAATTACTCTCTCTTTATGCCACATCACTTTTTCCTCATTCCTATAGCCCTGTATACAAAGGATTGATAATAATTAATAATACTTGACTTATAAAATGACGATTATGTAGAGACTCAAAAACCATAAATTAAATTCTCCCAATTGACAACCATTGCTGAAACACCTTTTCTGGTTGTCAAAATGACACCAAAAGTAGCCCAATTGGCAATGTTTTGTTTAATATGTCAGCTCTGAGTATTAAACAGAACAATTGCTATCATTTTCACACCTAACTCCCAATTAAATGAACATTATGCACCTAGTAGCTTAAGTGTGATATTTTAGATTTCATAATTTGTTTCATACAAAATTATTTTTCATTGAAACAGAATAGATTTAATAATTCTCTGAATATAAAAATAAAGTGCAAAATTTTATTCATATTTTTTTATTATTTGGTTTTTAAGATAAAAATAATATTTTAACACACTTATTTTTTCACTGTTATACAGATTTTTTGAAATTTCAGTGACCCATAATAATTTTTCCACAACTTCTCAAGGGGTCACAAACCCCCACTAATCTAGTATGGCTTTAAACAAATATTAAAACAACAGTACTGAAATTGTTTTTATTACTATTTTTATAAAATATATATTGAAAAATTATGTACATATAAGCAATACTTTTCTTTAAACTTAAATGTAATACATAGTTTACATATGACCCTTAACTTGTTCAAATTATTTAAACTATAAAATAATGTTAGGAATTTTAATTAGCATTAAATATATAATCTTTGTTAAGGATTTTTAAGAAGAAGAATATAGCTTGAAAATATTTGTTTTTTTTTTTAAACTTGAAATACTTAATAGTGTAAATAAAAAGTTTATTTAAAGTTTCATAAATAATTATAATTTAGTTATTTATATTTTAGACTAAACAATTTTCTTTTATTCTGGATGACATATCAACCCCCATTGAATGCTGCTTCTCATTTTTTAATACATTATTGTCTATATCAGAAGATGCAATATGTAGAGTAATTATATTTACATCATTTATATTTTATGTAAAAACTTTGGATTTAATCTTGTAACAAATATACATACTTAATTAAGTACTGTAAGATAGTATTCAGTTTATTTTATACCATTATTATTATTTCTAGGTTTGGAAATTGCAAAATGAAGCAACTGTAAGCTATAAGTCTGTGATTGGAGGTAAAGTATTTTCAATCATTTAATACAAATTTAATATATGATCTGGAATGTACAAATACCTTATGAGAACTAACAATTAGGGGTCAAAAAGATTGTATTGGTGTTACACAAATAAATCTCATGGTATGTCTTAAAGAATATAAATAAAATGTTAAAAAAGGCCATACTAACACAATATTAGCTACAATGTCATAAATTGTTACCCCATATTTACAGTATGCTATAATGCATTATGCATGAAATTTATAAATTTGTCATTTTTTAAAAATTATCTACAATTTCATTTTATTTTTGGCTGAAACATTTAGCAAAAAACAAATAAAATTAGTTCAGATTAAGCAGAATTTCAATTAACAAAAATGAATGTCATGGGATTGGGCTCAAATGTCATGGGATGAAGCAAACATTGTGAAAGCAGTACTCTCTCCATTTCCTGCAGTGAACATGCAAAAATAGAAATCCAGACATACATAATGTGCTCCATCAAATAAGTTAAATCGTGACTTACCATTTCCCATACACTTATTTTTATTGAAAGAAAGTTTCACCTCATGGAAAGTTTTTGAGCAATGATCAATATGGTTTTATGCCCCAGCATTCTGCAGAGGATGCCCTTGTTAAATTGTATGATACTCTACAGCAAGGAAAGAAGAGATTGATGTCTCTGTTAATATTTCTAGATATCAAAGGCTCATTTGATGATGTGTGGTGGTCCTCAATCTTAAAACTTATTAGAGATACCAAAGTACCACAAAATAATTTATACTTACTCAATCAAGGATTTCTTAAAAGATAGAACAGCTGAGCCTAAATTGGGCTTTGTTAAAAAAAAAAACTGTCCCTAAATAAAGGCTGTCCTCAAAACTCAGTATTTGGACCCCTACTCTAGAATGTTGTTATAAATGACTTGCTAATTAAATTATCAGACTGTTTCTGTTTGTCGGTTATAAAATCAGCTATATAATTAAAAAATAATTAATTATTGATGATTTGCTAAATTTTCTTAAAACCCAGACACCTGGATACATGATGTAAAAACCAGACAGGTGGCAACCCTTGGAAGGGACAAAGCATTATATTGGTTGGGAGAGCTAACTCAAATCATGGCAGGGGTAGAAATATATGATTGTCATATCTGTGGTTTATTTATCATGAGATGGTTGTAACCTGGGGTACATCTGTATATAAGAGCAAAATTAATGACCAATGCCAGGGATGCATATTCCCTTGGCATGGAAATACATAATAGAAAAAAGTTCAGGCATAAAAATCCTTAATTCATATATGGCCTACAATCAACTTTGGTTTTATTTTTTATTTTTATGTTATGTTTCTTTAGAAATTTTATCTAATATTTTTCATTTAATATTTCTTAATTTTATTTTTGATAATCATATTTTGTTCATTATACATTTATTTTATTTGTTCAAGTTAAAATTTGTAATTGGAATTTTAAATATGTGAATATTCCATTTTTCTAATGATTTATAACCAAATTTAAAACCTGAAGATGGCCTATGATAATAGGTTGAAAATGTTTTGTTCAATCTTAACAATTTTTTTCAGATGGTTATATATTAAATAGTTTTTAATTTTTTAATATGTATTTTTGAATTAATTAAATGATGATAATATATGTAATTATTAATATAATTAATAATTATATGTTGAAATAAAGTATTACATTGTTTTATGTTTTCTTTTTTAGCTTCTCCAACAGTTTTAACTATAGATTATAAATGTCAACATATAGCTATAGGAACTGTTGCAGGAAATATAGAAATTTATCAAGCAGATAATGAAAATAATCTTCAACATATTTCTTCATTAAAAATTTGGAAACTTATGTATGATGTAAATAAAAGAAAAGGTTTGTTAATTACAAGATATTGATATATATATTTTTAATTGATATAATAGATAGGATAAAATTCAATTTGTAACACTTTGAAAAAAAAAAAAGATATCAATATCTGCTGATTAAGCTAATGTAATATAATTATTGATTATGCCAAATGATTACAATACAGAAGAATATTCATTTTACCTTCCAAGTAAACATCAATGCAAGATAATTTAATTTATTTATTGAATTTTATTGAACTTTTTAAAATACTGATTTGATTAAAAATATAAAGAATTTTAAATGTGATTTCCTAAATATAGTGCACACTTACTAATTCAAAATAATTATTGTGTGGGATTGTTTAGATTATTGAAAAGTTTGAATTAGCAGGTTATATAAAGAACAAATTCAAACAGGACTACAGACAAACACATATAATATATTTAAAAAATTGTTATCCTATATTTATGCTATAAAGCATTATACATTAAATTTATAAATTTGTCATTTTTTAAAAAATTATCTATGATTTCATTTTATTTTTGGCTGAAATATTTAGCAAAAAACAAATAAAATTGGTTCAGATTAAGCAGAGTTTCAATTAGCAAAAAGTCACTATATAATATTTATATGAAATCAAAATATTTAAAGTAATAATTATTTTGTTTTATTTAATTTTTAGAATAATTAACTATTTGGATTTGGAATTATTAATGATTTAATATATAATATTTCAGAATTTATTAATAATTTATGCTTAATCTTCTGATTACAAAATTGTGAATGAATGGAAATAATTATTAGCTGCTAAACTGAACATTATTAAATTGCTATCTAATTTCAGTGTTACAAATTTAATATAAAATTATTGGATTAACTTGACATCAAGTAATAGAATATGTAAATAATTTTAATATTTATGTTCCCAAATTATTTAACACTAGCAGACCCCACCACGCGTTGTTGTGGCTCAAAATGTATCTATTATAAATGTATAATACATCCCCCGTGGGGTGGGAATTTTTCGAAAAATTTCTTCTTAGTGTACATTCTCTTGACGTACCCTATTAAAACGCAAAAAAAGCATCTAAAATAGTATAAATAGAAGCAGAGTTCTTTACCGTAAGCCTTAATCTTAACCATCTCCCTTCAGTGGGGGAATTTCGACACGTATATCATACTAACACAATATTAGCTACAATGTCATAAATTGTTACCCCATATTTACAGTATGCTATAATGCATTATGCATGAAATTTATAAATTTGTCATTTTTTAAAAATTATCTACAATTTCATTTTATTTTTGGCTGAAACATTTAGCAAAAAACAAATAAAATTAGTTCAGATTAAGCAGAATTTCAATTAACAAAAATGAATGTCATGGGATTGGGCTCAAATGTCATGGGATGAAGCAAACATTGTGAAAGCAGTACTCTCTCCATTTCCTGCAG